GTAGTAGTCGTCGTCGCAGCAGCAGCAGCGGCAGTAGTAGTAGTAGTAGTAGTTGTTGTTGTTGTTGTTGCTGCTGCTGTTGCTGTTGTTGTATAGTAGTAGCATAGTAGGAGTATGGTAGCAGTATAGTAAGAGTATAGTAGTAGTATAGTAGCAGTAGCAGTAGCAGTAGAGTCGTCGTCGTCGTCGGCGTGGTCGAAGTCGTGGTAATAGTAGGAGTAGCAACTTAAGAGAAAAGGCTCTCTGCGCAACAACACTAGTGACAATGGTTACAATTAGAATTTCCAAGATACCTTGAGGTATTCGTGTTGGGTAGCACCGTTCGTCTAGCTGTAGCCTGCTCTCACTGAAATGCACATGTATAGGCTGTTGGTACTGCCTTTATAGAGGTAATGCCGGTTTGAGATTCGATGGCCTTTGGCCCCTTTCTCAAGAGTGAAACGCAGGCAACGTGAAACCTGGCTGGAAGTGGCGAGGGCCTGCAGCTGCTCTCTGCCCCTGGCTCTACAGAAGCTTAAGACGTCTTTGGATGCTCGGATTGGGGCAGAAGAGCTTCGGAGGCTTCGGCTCGAAGCGTTGATGCTTGCAGCTCACGAACCGAAGCCAACAGCGTACGGGGGCGCCTGTGTGAAGAAAGCGACATGGAAGGCAAGAGCTGCACCAGAAACTTGAAACTCTCACAACTCGGAGCCTATAGAACACAAAGCAAGCAGCCTGGCAACAGTCGCCATGATCAGACATGACCAACCAACACACAGCCGAAACTCAAGCTTGAAAGATCTTGCGCACGGCATATAAAGCATACTTCTAAATATGTACAGACGGTTCAGATTTGCCGAGGATCAATTTCACACGTCCTCCAAACATAGAAACTCGACTGGCCAGCATTGTGCCATCACTCGGGGATGATGGCTTGACACTAAACACAATGTTAAGAGGCAGGGGTCCTAAACCCTAAACCCTATAACCCTATAACCCTAAAGCATTGGAACTCTAACCTCTCCCAAAGTCACCTCATCGGCCACTGCCCGGGCGGGAGGCGGCCGATGGCCTCGGCCATAGGATTCGAGTTTGGCGATCTAGAGTAATCTAGCGAGACTCTGTAGATTGGATTGGGGACTTCGAGGCTCCTGGCGAAGCTGGGGCTTAGCTCGTGGAGTCCCGACGGGAGCTAGGGATACGTCACTCCTACTTCCGTGCGAGGGCCTTGGATATGGCCGGGAAAATCTCAAAAACGACTGGGAAGTTATGACGCTGGACTCGCAGACACCTCCGCTTGCTTGCATTCCAGGTGGCGGCCGCGAGGGCATGGCGACACCACGCTCTGCACAGAGGTTTTCGAAGAGGGGAAGCACGTCCTCGCCAACTCCAATGCTTCGGGGCTGATGGAGACATCATAGCATTGAAGCCCGGAAGGTTGGGAGCATGATCGCATCGGAAGTACGTTCCTGAGTACTGGTTACTCGCTGCCGAGACCTCAGATTTGAACAATCCCCAACAACATCCGCTACCCGAGACATTGCATGCCCCGACTCATAACCCCTTCGACCCCGGAGTACTTCAGATCCCCCTCGCACCTCCCCGTAGTCTTGGAGCGCGTTGCCTCGGAATTGTAAAGCTGGATGCCTTTTCGTGAATTTCGGGACACACCCCTAGCCCTAGCATACACTCAAGAGGAAGGAGGTGAACTACCTCCTCCAGGGCTGGAGTTGTTCCATGACTACTTCGACCATGAAAACAAGGGAAACACAGAACCCCCCCCGACAACCTATTCGCCCCGCGACGCCAATGTCATAAGCGAAAGGCTTCCAGGCAAACAGACACCAACAACGAAAACATAACCCTATAACCCTCTAACCCTAAGATCAGTAACCCTAAACCTCATAACCCTAAACCCTATGACCCAGCAAATCTGCAAAGAGTCCAGACTCCAACACCTCTCACTTGCACCGAGAGGCTGAGAGCAAAGAGAAGACTCTGGTTCTGCTCTCTCAGACCTCTGGCCTCAGGGGGCAGAGACCCGTCAAGCACCCATCGAAAAACACAAAATCCGTGGGGGGGTTTAGGGTCCGTGGGGGGCGGAGGGAGGGAGGAGGTATGTAAGTACGTAAGTGCCTTGAGATTCCTGGCGCCATCCGTTTGCAAGCTTCGAGCCGAACCCCCCCAAACCTTGCCCCCACACCAGCATTCGTGAAAGCAGTTGGCAAAAGAGAGGGGTGTAGGCCCGTATAGGCCAGAGCTTAGTCTGTTGGAGGACCCTCTCTCCATGGTCTTGATAGCCCCTTCGCGATTCAGTTCCCTTTCAATTCAAGACCACAGAAAAGAAGCGGCTACCTTGTGTCGAATCCTCGCAGGTCGTGTGTTTAGCAGAGTGACACCGAATCAACACATGCCACGTTCGGCCTGTGCGTCAAAAAGAAAGAACGTGGTTCAAGCTCCAACAGTTCAGGTCAACAGCTGCACGCCCTGAGTCCTCAAAAGCTTGAAACCCACTTAACCCTAAACCCTAAACCCTATAACCCTAAACCCCATAACCCGAGAACCCGAAAACCCTACAACCCTATAACCCTAAACCCTAAAACGCAGCCCTAGGAGCCTTCACGTCAACTGCAGCAGCTGCTTCGGGGGCCAAGTCCACGCCGGACTGTGCAGGCGGCCCGTGGCATTTGAGGCCCCTAAGCCAGTCCCCCTTACAGTTTAGGGTTACAGGGTTATAGGGTTGTGGGGTTATAGGGTTTAGGGTTTAGGGTTACAGGGGTTTAGGGTTATGGGGTTACGGGGCTATAGGGTTTAGGATTGTAGGGTTTAGGGGTTATAGGGTTTAGGGTTTAGGGTTATAGGGTTTAGGGGTAACAGGGTTATAGGGTTTAGAGGTAACAGGGTTTAGGGCTTTAGGGTTATAAGGATACATCGTTTAGGGTTATAGAGTTATAGGGTTTAGGGTTTAGGGAATCTAAAGACGTCCCCCCCAAGCCCGGACCGCTGCGTCTAAACCGACATCGAGGATGTTTTGGGGGATGGCGGTGTACAGGATTGTCATTTTGTCCGCTGCAAGAGAGGTTATGTTATTGGAGCAATACTAAATATAGTCGTAGTATGACCCCTTTATAAACTCAGATTCATCATTGTTCAATCATATCACTACGTGAACAGAAGTATGAGCAGCCTCGTGATCTTGCTGCTAGTGCCGCCGCTCCCTGCAAACATGATATTTATATCATATCTGACGACACAAGTGCGAACATGAGAGATAGCCGTTGACATGGCCTCAAGCCTGCTTGGTTCAGTGTATGCAACAGACATGCACACGGAAGCGCTGCAATCAAGGAACCCGGTGAACCATCATAGCATGGGACATCAGATCGGAGACCGTGGAAGTTCTCTTGATTCCGTTTTTTGCACAGACTGGCACAAATTTTGGAGGTTACATTCCGATATCCGCATGTCTTGCCTCTGACACTCACTCCCAGTGTATCTCCACTGGCCAAAGATGGAATTAGTGCGGTTTAGGGTTATGCTTAAGCTGTGCAGCCGGCTACAGCCAGCTTGTAACCCCGCCAGAACTACTCACGGGGCTTAGCGCAACCCCCGCACTCCACATTGCCTGGATGGCCCGCGTCTGCGCATTGGCCAAGGTCTCGGACGAAACGGGTTGAACACTCATCGGAAGAGGAAACATCGACAGTTCAGTTAATGGCTACGTTTAGATCGTGGCTTGGCTTAAGTAGTCGCTTCGGACTCTGGCATCGCGCAGGAAAAAGTCCAAGACTGCCGGCTTGTCAAGATATACGATGGCGGTGGGGGAAAGTTCTAGGAAACCTCAGAAACCGCTTGCAAACCTCATGGAATCAGGTGTCTTCAATGTCACCGTGGGTGCATACGGCTTCGTGCCGTGACACAACGGCCAGAGCTTGTTCAGCCGCCAGCAAGTTTGTTTGAGCTCCCTTCTCCACAACCATCAGACCCCATTGCTCCACTTTGGGAAATCTCCTGCCTGCTGCGCACGCTCAATCTTCGGCGCCTGGTGCATGAGCGATCCAACAACTCTCCCCCGCTGAACGAAAGACAGCTCTTTGAGAACAACCCAGACCGACATGTTAAATAATGTAGGGGTCTGAATCATTAGCAAAAGCTGTTGGGACATGTTTTACACGAAAGTCATGATAAGGAGCCCCTCAACATCGGCGCCTGTGTGCCAATGTCCTGCCGGAGGACCTGCGAAGGTCACAGCTGACCGTGTGCCTCTGTGAGGTAATCCAATCACATTTCTGGTTGCCCAGACAGCCAACCGCCGAGAACCCCACGACCCTCAAACCTCGAACGCAGTGTTCTGAACAACCCAACCACACCGCGGAGTTTGCCAGGCCCCTGACGTCACGGGCTGCAGTCAGCTCATTCACGTGAGCCTGAGCTCCCGATTTGTAACCCGAAAACTTTGAGAAAAGTTGGATGATCAGGCGATGAGGAACCTTCGGGGCGTGGGGCTTGAGTGATGTCATGGCTCTGCTCGTAGGCCCGGTGAAGGCAAGAACCGGAGCCCAACCCCTAACCCGTCAATCCCTACACCCTGGCACCCCCAAAAGCCTACCCCGAAGCGCTACTCTAAACTCTAAACCCTGAGAGTCGTTCCCATCCAAAAGCAATGAGAATCGTAGTCAAGGCTGGAGCCTCCATCTGCTGCATGGACCTTTGCAGCTCCTGTTTCGATCGATGACTAATTAGGTTGAGGGTTTAGGGCTTAGGGGTTTTAGGGGTTTGGGGGTTTAGGGTTTAAGGGTTTAGGGTTCAAGGGTTTAGGGTTTAGGCGGGTTGCAGGCCATCCCAAGGGAGCTGCACTTCATGCGCTTTTTACGTCACAGGGCCCACTTCTTCTCCTATCTTCTCCTGGTTCTAGCTGCTACTGGCAGCGTGACGATGACGATGATTACGAGTACGGCAGCATGAAGATGGGATGAATGGTGGTGGCTGTGATGAGGCGAGGATGAGCCTGATGCTGATGATGACGGCCATACATGCAAAACAAAACACAAACAGTGGGATCAGATCGCTTCTGGCTCGTATACAGGCGATCTGTCCTCGTAGCGCTGCACGTCCTCCTGGGCCTTGACATGCATGAAAGGCTGGGGAAAGTTTTGTCGACTAAGCTGCTAGGCTTCGGCGTTCCATGGAAAGCTTTGTAAGCCTTTGGAAGCCTAACGCAACATTATGGCTTTGCCTGTCTCTCAGGCTCTGCCCAGCTTGGCCCCTTTACACCCTTCTCCACACTTGTCCCCTGCGGATTCTGTGTGTTTCTTGAAGCCAGGGGTAAGTCCTTAGAGGCCAACATTCAGTACAGGAAGCTTACTTCAAGTCTTGATGCTCGCAGTAGGATGACCTACCTCACTTCTATAGCCTGCTTTCAGCTTCCAATGACCACTTGCACCCAGCCTCTTGCTCCAGCTGCGTCAGCACCTGGCCATCTCTGCGTGTCAAGCATGGCTGACTGCCAGACCACGCAGAGTGACAGAAGCACACGCACGTTGGTCTGGTTCTCGAAAGTTCTCGATCTTTAACAAGAACAGTCTTCCTTTTCGATTCTCTTGACCTGCGACTGCGCCTTCTTCTTTTTGAAGAGGACCTCGTTTGCTGCCCTGGACTGCTCCTCCAGCGTCTGTTTCTCCTGGTTGGTGAGCACAGGTCTGGATGCCAGTCAGTTTACGAGTTTCGGAGCCGAACAAGTTCACAGCGTCTGTCTCTCTCTCTATAACGTAATTCCCACATGCTTGGCCGATCATCAAAGTCAGTCCTAAGTTTCACGCAAGCAACTTGCCACAGATGAACAAGAACCAAGATCGACAACCCGAAGTCTCTTTACGTGGCCTTCGCCGGGTGTCGGGATCCCGAAGAATGGAGTCAGCTCGTGTTCTTAAGAAACAGGGCTCCTCCCTTCCCAGTGAGCCCCGGATCCTCGAGCTCGGACTGGTTCTGCATGTTCGAGGTCTGCAAGTTCTCCTTGAACTTGTGGTTCCGCTGCACCAGATGCCCCTGGTTCAGAGATCGCTTTCAGGATTCAGCTGGCCGACTCGAATCTGAAATTCCACAGGAGTGCAGCAGCCCCATCTTGGCCCTTTTTTCCGACGGCCATCGATTTTGCTCAGGCATGGAAACCCTTCCAAAACGCTGAAACAGAAGGTACCTCCTCGAAGCAGATGGAGTCCCCCCGAGGGCGGCACCAGGGTGTTCTCCAGAGATCGGATCTCCTGCAGCAGCGAACCCTTTTATCCTTTTAGTGCTAGTTTGAACCATCCATGCCAAAGTGACACATCCATAGGTACGTGTGTAAACATTATACATACAAATGCATCGTATTACATGTATAAACTAGAAACATGTTTGTACGAGAGTGTGGGTATATGTGTGTGTGTGTGTACGCGTATGTATACGCACATCTACATCTAGGTCTACATTACATCTACATCTACGACGTGTGCATCTACATCTACATTCACATATACACATATATTTACACATGGACATACAGGCACTGTGCAACGCTGATCGCTTACCTAGTCGTTGACTTCAGTTCTATCTGATTGTTTACATTTGTTGCCTTAATTTCGGCACATTTCGGCCATCAAGAAAGATTTCAAACGACACTTGGAGCAGATCCGGTACTTCACTTCATGGCTCCCTTGCATCGTATCAGATCAGCCAAGTTGGGGCCGGTATGCTCGTTAAGATCGGAGTTTGGGCGTGAATGTGGGTTCCTGATCCCGGGACACACCCACACATAAGAGTCGTTTAACCTCCCCAGAAACACGCACCGCTGATGGTTTGGAACAGACTGCCTAAAAAGCCCAAAAACCCTAAAAACCCTAAAAACCCCAAAAACCCTAAAAACCCTACACCCTAAAACCCTTTAACCCTACCCTGAACTGTTGTCAACCCCGGGACTCCTTCTCAGCCCGGCGGATCTTGTCGTCAAGCTCGTCTCCTTTCCTCTGCAGCTCCTCCTTCTCTTGGGCGGCCTCTCCACTTCCGTGCAGGGCTTCGGGGCTTTGGGGGCTCCAGAATTTACAGTTTGGGGTTGGTGGATTTGTTGTTGGGATCCGGGCTTAGGATTTTTGCTTTCGGGCTTGGTTGCGGCTTGGACCTAAGGCTTTGCGACGTCTGCCGTGTAGTGTTGGACGGAAGGTGACACTCCGTTTGGTATCTCGTGGGATGCTTGCTGCCGACCTCTGGTTTGCTTCCGAGCAGGGGCGCGGGGCACTGGGCTGTTGGTGCAGCACAACAGCACTCCGCCTCAACTCAGTCAGCCGAAGAGTGAACCAAGAAGTCTTTCACCCGAACTTACAGGAACTTGGTTGGTCATTTCGGCTGAGCCTTCAAAATGAATGCCAACTACTTACGACTCTTCGACAGTATAAGGGCTGCGCCATGCACATCCGGGGAAGGCAGGATTAAGATTAAGAGCTCCTGCATAGAAAAGCCCCCTCGCAAAGCACACCTTGATCATGTAGTGAGCTTGGCTCAGCTGCTCCCCACCCTCCTCCTTCTTCACCTCGACGCTCGAGCAGTTTGGGAGGAAAGCCCTTGTGGGTGCGCTTCTAATTCTAGGGCTTTGGTAAGGAGGTCCTACCTCTGCTGACTGCTGCAAGTTGCTTTCTATGGCGTTGCGCAAAGGTCTCATCATGCCATCAAGTCAGTACAATCATAGCCCGCAGCAGCAGCATCAACGTCAGCATCAGCATGACCACCACCAATGCCGAGTCACGGGGACCCTCCAGTAGATAAACCCTCGCCCTAATAAGGAATACCTCATCAGCGGTCTGCCCCAATTGAAAATCTAGACCTTCACCAGGAGGAATTTGTGGGAAACAGAGCAGGTGCGTATCATGTAAGTTTGGCGATCACGCATCCGATGCGTCTCTAAGTGCGAGCTGCAACGACACGCGCCTTGCACATGACGTTGTCATACTTGCTCTTCCTGGGCTTTCGGTCGAAGGGTCATGCTGCTGCATGGGGAAGCCAAGACTCGCACGACAAATGCCAAGACCATGCGTGAACATATTCCTGCGTGCCTACAGCTTGATTCCACAAACGTGAACTTCGAAACCAAAGCCCCTGCAAACCAGAACACAAGCTCTGCAACCTGAAGTCGACACAGATGTACATATTTGAGGTACGTGGGGATTCTACACGGGATCTGCAACTTCCTGCATTTGTCAAGGGCCTCTGCCCTGGGAATGTAAACAACGCATGACACACCGCATAAGGTTCAGAGCCCCTGCTGGTATCCCTCTAAGAGATCTAACTCTAAGCAGCCTTTCACTCGCCGTTTTCTAACAGGGCACAAGGTGAAGATCTTCTGCTTCCTCTCCGCCAGCTCAATCGCTGCCTCACGGGCGTTCATGGAGCCTCCTTTCCTCTGCAGCTTCATACCATCTGAGATTCCTCCTCTACCTTCCGGCCTTTTTTGGGTGTTAGGTCCTACGTGGATGGGTACATGAGCTTCGTGCATGGCTACAGGGCTTTTGGAAGTCCTCTATGGACGTTCTCGTGAGTGCAGAGCTGGAAACCTCTGCACCATCTCCGTTTCCCTTCCGGCCGCCATGGCCCTCAACCCTATAAACCCTATAAATCCTATAAACCCTATAAACCCTACAAACCCTATAAACCCTATAAATCCTATAAACCCTAAACCCGAAGATGCCCTGTTAGCAGGCCTTGTGTTTCTCTTCCTCGGCAGACCGGAGCTGTGCTCTCAAGACCTGGAGGGCAAGAAGCGCAGTGAAGATGCCCCCAAAAAATCCGTCGGATGAACTATGGCACAGGAAAAATGAAAACCCTTCCTCTAAAGGCCTGAACTCTAAAGGCCGATGTCCGTAGCGGAGGCCACGGCCTCGGTGTGAACCTCGATCTCCTTCTCCCTCTCCTATGGCAGGAGGAGCTGCGAACTCTCTGAAGGGATTAGGATTTAGGATTTAGGGTTTAGGATTTAGGATTCAGGGTTTAGGGTATAGGATTTAGGGTTTAGGATTTAGGATTTAGGGTTCAGGATTTAGGATTTAGGGTTTAGGGTTTAGGGGGGGTGGATGAGGGGCAAAGTAAAGTAAAGGGGATTAGCCCAGGCCTGGCAAGAGCGCCATGAGACAGTTGAGGTCCTGTCTCCTACCTCCCCCAGCCAAAGCAAGACCTGGTAGCCTCTGTCTGTGCCTTTGGGACGGGTCGGCTTTCCTTGAATCCGTGGATAGGTCTGTGCGAAGGACAGGTGGGCTGTCCTTCAAAGTCCATCATCAATCATCATCCAAAGCACCAAAAGCCCAAAGCTGGACTCTTCCACCCTCACGCCGGACCCCTTGACTCGAACTCATTCAAGCAAACACACCTCGACAACCTGGCCTCCATGCTGATTTGGAGCTGCTGCTTTCGATTTTCCAGGCTGTACCTCCCGTATTTGGAACAACTAGGTGTGTTGGGTTCTGGTAAGTCGTGTGGGTTTCAAGGGTTCGCGGCCTATACATGATCCGGGAACAAAGCTGTGAGGCGACGCTGTGCTGCGGGACTGTTGAACCTTCACCTGAATATGTGGCTGCAGAAGCGGTTACAACGTCTAACAAAGCCCACCGAAGCAACTACTGCGACCCCGCTGCCAGGGCAGCAAAACTTAGCGGAACCCCTGAAACAATTGCAATTCAAGCTGCAAAGCAGACACTGATGGATAACACCTGACTAGTAGAAATGGGCCCGGACGTGGCAGGTTACACATTAGTTCCGTGCGAATACCGCGAGAAAAGCAATCAAGCTGCGATTCATGTGACGCAAAGACAAGCCGCAAACCTATGGTAACAAACACCACGTCCGGAATGACAATGGGAGGGCGCAAATTCTCAGACTTGGTGGTAAGCTGCTGCCGAAGTCGTTTGACCTGCAGCTGATATCATTCAACCACCCACACAAAGGAAGCCACATTTCCTGGGGTCCAAAGTTCACTGCCACTTTTGGGGGGTGGTACATGCAAAGGCTCACACACCCAGGCTAGGTCGCACATGCGGTGAAAAAGTCTGTCGTCCTGGCCTCTAGCCTGAGGATGTCATGCTGCATCATCGACTCCTCCTTGTCCTCATGTTGCTTGTGCTTGATAGGAAGCTTGTCACTCTGTTGTGAAATTTCATTGTTGTCAATCTTTGGCCACCCAAACTTCGCAAACGTAGCAGGAGACTGATTCCAGCATTCCAGCATTGTCCCAGCAATGCGCTGCATCATCACTCAGCCTTGTCCGAAATTCGATACCTCTGTGTCATCACGCAAGGACAGCATTGTTTGCGCCACTACCGCGAATGACCCATGCGTGGATCCCCACGCACTTCCCCAGTCCTTGACCGTCTTCGCAACTGCACCTTGCAGGAAAACGAAGAAAATGATTTAGCGGAGCCATCCCAGCCCCAAGTCTGCCAACTGCAGACGGTTGCAATGAAAACCCTAAACCCTACGCCCTCAAAGGCCTCACTCTTTCCTTCAATCTCTCGGCCCCAAAGCTGGAACCTACTCTCGGCTAGGGGGTCCACACATGGAGACATGGGAAAGCTTGACTGACCCTGCAGATTGCAAGTGCATCCTCGATATGTTCAACTGTACCACCGATACAGCCTGATGCTACCGCCAACCGCAATACGCACTCATTGATGCGCACATATGCAAAGCCGTAATGCCCCAGTAAGAAAGCCCCTGTTAAACGTGGGCACATGCAGGCTATGCAATGTATGTATATATATATATACAGATATAGATATAGATATAGATATAGATATAGATATAGATATAGATATAGATATAGATATAGATATAGATAGATATATAGATATAGATATATAGATATAGAT